TCCCTATGGCTTGAAAGTTGGAATTATTGTCAGTCTTGTCAAGCCAAAGCACCATGTGGACAGTGCTTCTGATGGGGACGCCTTTGCGCCCATGTTTTTTTTGGGCGCCCAAGTGCCCAACTATGTTAGGTGCGATTGTTCTTCCCGAGAGAAGGCTGCTTTTGCCCCCGGAGCAGTTGATACGCAAAATTTCTGGTTTTAAGTTATTTCGAGTGACGCACCTTTTAAGACTTCATCAGGTGTTCTTCAACAATTTCCTTGTGAAAGAAAGAAGAGTTGGAACGGAGGATTTTTTGGATCTCGACGTGTGTTGTTCGTGTCATATCGGAGAAGGAAAATTGTGGAGCGTGAGTTCTGTAAGTTTCCTTATGTGTGCGGAGGAAACTGGTGTGAGTCTTTTGTAAAACATTCTAAATTTCATAGTGAAAATTTCTAGTGATGTGACTCCATTATTTTTTCTCGTTCTCAAGTTTTTCCATGTAAATTTTTATGTCCTTTTCTACTTATATTTTATTTCACTTTTGGGCTTAATTTTATCGTTGCGGTTTTCTTGAATCCTGGGATCTTATTTCGTGGTAAAACTAGGAGATTCATTCGGATTAGTTTCTCCCAACAAACTGGTAGCAGAGCGGGGTTCGATTAAAGTAGGTGTAATGGCCGAAGAAGCAAGGTTCAAGGTTGAGAAGTTCAATGGAACGAACTTTGTTTTTTGGAAGATACAGGTGGAGGATTTACTGTATCAAAAAAATTGTACTTGCCACTACAAGGAATCACAAGGAAGCTTGAAGTTATGCTTATGGAGGAATGAGAAGTGTGGATCGAACGACACTAGGTTTTGATCAGGTTATCACTTTCCTCATTTGTTGCATTAAAAATTGTGAATGAGAATACTATGGTGGATCTCATGGCGGCACTGGCCAAGATGTACGAGAAACCTTATGTTTCTAATAAAATTTTTCTGATGAAAAAATTATTCAACATGAAGATGGTGGAAGACGGTTCAACAGCAGAGCAACTTAACAACTTCAATAATGTGACGAACCATTTGTGTTATGTGGGGTATACGTTTGAAGATGAGGTCAGAGCACTGGTGATACTATCTTCATTGTCAGAAAACTGGAATGGTTTGGTAACGGCGGTGAGTAATTTTTTGGGGACTTCAAAGTTGAAATTTGATGTCATCATGGGTCTGATGCTGAATAAGGAAGTTCGTAAAAAATCGGTGAATAGTAAATCTTTAGTTTCTGCGTTAAATGTTGATAACAAGGGAATGAATCTAGTTAGGAATATAGGCAGAGGAAGATCCAAGTCCAAAAAAAGAAAGCCCAACTCAAACAAAGGAGAATGCTAGAACCGCAATAAGAAGGAGCATTTTAAGAAGGATTGCAAAGCTCCAAGGAAAGCTGGTGGAGGAGGACAGGATAGTAATTTCTCTACTAATGTTTCTACTGGTGAAATCTAAAATGACTCCCTGGTGTTATCCCTAATCAGCATTGAACCCTGGATAGTGGATTCAGGTGTCTCTTTTCATGCTTTCCCCAATAAAAAGTTATTTAAAAATTACACTCATAGTGATCTAGGGAAGGTTTATTTGGGAGGTAACAAGGCTTGCAATATAGTAGGAAAGAGTGTTGATATCAGTTGTTGAATGGAGCAGTCTGAAAACTTACTAAAGTCAGACATATTTCTAGTTTGAAGAGAAATCTTATCTCTGTGAGCCAATTAGAAAAGTCAGGATTTGTGACAAATTTCACAGATGATTCGTGGAAGGTAACCAAGGGGCATTGGGGATGACTCGGGGCAACATTGAAGGCATCGTAGACTTGATTTCGTTGATGTGGCTGGAGCCAGGGTCAGTGCAAATCTATGGTACTACAGGCTTGGTCATATGAGTAAGAAAGATATGAAGTTCCTACTTTCAAATAATAAACTTCAGGGTTTGAAATTAGTTGATCTGAATTTCTATGAATATTGTATATATAAAAAGCAAAAGAAATTTTCTTTCACGAAGAACAGGTTAGTGGTGAAGTCAAAGAAACTAGAGTTAATGCATATTGATGTATGGGGTTTAATTCACAGTTCAGTCCATTAGAGGTTCTCACTATTTTATCACGTTTATTGATGATCGCACGTGGAATGTATGGGTTTATTTTTTAAAGCAGAAATATGATGTATTTGAAATATTTAAGAAATGGAAGACTGGTAGAAAATGATACAAGATTGAAACTGAAGTGTTTCAGATCAAATAATGAAGGTGAATACCATGATTTGAAGTTTAGGAATTTTTGTGCAAATGAGAGGTCAGACATTAGTTTACTATCCCAAGGACACCACGGCAGAATGATGTAGTTGAGCTCATGACAAAAAAATCACGGAGCGTGCTAGGGGCATAAAACTACATGAAGGATTATCGAAACAGTTTTGGGCTAAAGTAGTTAATACTGCAGTTTATTGATTAATCGTAGTTTGTTTGTACCTTTGGAGGAAGGCTTATCTGAGGAAGCATAGAGTGACAAAAAGTATGTATATCTCATTTAAGACTATTTGAGTGTCCTGCATATGTATATATTGATGCAGGTTCTAGAAACAAGCTTGACTCAAAATATATTAAGCGCGTCTTCATTGGATATGATTTAGATGAGTTTGGGTACAAGTTTTGGGATTATCAGAATAAAAAATTCATCAAGAATAGGGATGTAACTTTCAACTAGATGGAGCTATACAAGGACAGGGTTAGAACTCAAAACAATTTGTCAACTACTTTTGAAGAAGTTAGATATGTGGAGATAGATGTTAGTGGTGATTAGGAGGATTGAGAAAGAGGAAGTGCTCAACTACAAGGAGCAATGGAAGTTCCTCAGATATCTGCTACAGATGTCAGGAGATCCAGCATAGTGAAACAACTCATACAAAGATATTCTTTTTATTTACACTATTTTTCACTGATTGATAGGAGTAAACTAGAGTGCATTGAGGAGGCCACACAAGTTGAAGATTCAAGGGCATGGGATCTAGCCATGGAAGTAGAAATGAAATCTTTGGAGTCAAATCAGACATGAGATTTGGACAGTACTACCAAATGATAAAAGAGCCCTGCACAACAAGTGGGTCTACAGGCTGAACGAGAAGTTAGATGGTACCAAGCACGAAAAGACATGACTTGTTGTAAAAGGTTCTCAACAAAGGGCAAGAGTGGATTACACAACGAACTTCTCCCCAGTGGTGAAGATGATGACTGTGAGGGTTGTGCTGAGTCTATTAGCGATGGAAGATCTACATCTGGAGCAAATGAATGTAAAATGAGCTTCCTTATATGGAGATCTGGAGGAAGAACTATACATGGTGCAGCCAAAAGGTTACAAGATTTCAGACAAAGATGTTTTGGTTCACCAATTGAAGAAGAGCCTCTATGGCATGAAGCAAGCCCCGATGTAGTGGTACAGAAGGTTTGAGTGGTTTATTTCAGATGATGGTTACTTGAAGTATCAGACAGACCACTGTTGCTTCATCAAACACTTCAGTAATTGTTGTATTTTATTTCTTTTGTATGTGGATGCAATGTTGATTGCATGGGCAAATATGAAGAAAAATAGAGGCTTGAAGAATCAGTTATCAAGTGAGTTTCCTTGTGTGTGGAGATTGTGGAGCACGAGTCCTGTAAGTTTTCTTTTTTTGTGGAGGAAATTAGGGTGAGTCCTTTGTAAAACCTTTTGAATTTTATTATGAAAATTTCTATTGTTGTGGCTTCGTGATCTTTTCCCATTCTCAGGGTTTTCAATATAAATTTTCATGTGTTTTCTAGTTGTTTTAATGTTTCTTTTGCGCTTAAATTTATTGTTCCGATTTTCTCAAATCTTGTGATCCTACTCCATGATGAAACTAGAAGGTGATTCATTCAGAGTAGTTTCTGTCAACAATTATTGGAGAAAATGAAATGGAGCAAAGCAAGAGTGAAAGGAATACTTACTTAAAATTCAGCACAAAGACAAATAAAATGCCAAATGTCAAATGAAAAATTCCATAGACCAATATGTACATGAAGTTCAGTTGTCATGGCTTTCGACCAATTGTAAAATCTAGCAGCTTGGTGATGATTTTGGGATTCAAGTTTGAAGGATACAATTAGGGCCTAATTTCTATTGAAGCTTCTGAAGGAATCATAAGAAACAAAACCAGATAATGGATACTTACTAGTAACTTTGCATGTCTTGTTATTAAGTGAACTTGTGTTCATGTTGTTATTAGAAACAAGCCTATTATATTGATATTTCTGTTGGCATTAAGGCAATTTAGCGAGCTAGGTGGATTGTTGGAGGATTTAATTATTATTTAGAGGTGGTTGGACAATGGGTGGAGCAATGTTGTGGAAGTTGTTAGAGGTTATTTTCAATTGTTGCTTATATGGGTATATTTGGATTAGTAGTCATCGACAAAA